GCGATCTGGTGTTGCCCCAAAGCCCTTCTGGGTTGTCCAGAGACCTTCTGGTGTTGCCCCAAAGACCTTCTGGTGTTGCCCTGAGACCTGATGTTGCCTCAAGACCTTCTGGTGTTGCCCCAAAGACCTTCTGGTGTTGCCCTGAGACGTGGTGTTGCCCCAAAGTCCTGGTGTTGCCCCAAAGACCTTCTGGTGTTGCCCTGAGACGTGGTGTTGCCCCAAAGTCCTGGTGTTGCCCCAAAGACCTTCTGGTGTTGCCCTGAGACGTGGTGTTGCCCCAAAGTCCTGGTGTTGCCCCAAAGACCTTCTGGTGTTGCCCTGAGACGTGGTGTTGCCCCAAAGTCCTGGTGTTGCCCCAAAGACCTTCTGGTGTTGCCCTGAGACGTGGTGTTGCCCCAAAGTCCTGGTGTTGCCCCAAAGACCTTCTGGTGTTGCCCTGAGACGTGGTGTTGCCCCAAAGTCCTGGTGTTGCCCCAAAGACCTTCTGGTGTTGCCCTGAGACGTGGTGTTGCCCCAAAGTCCTGGTGTTGCCCCAAAGACCTTCTGGGTTGTCCAGAGGCCCTCTGGTGTTGCCCCAAAGACCTTCTGGTGTTGCCCTGAGACCTGGTGTTGCCCCAAAGACCTTCTGGGTTGTCCAGAGATCTTCTGGTGTTGCCCCAAAGATCTGACGTTGCCCCAGAGACCTTCTGGTGTTGCCCCAAAGGCCTTCTGGGTTGTCCAGAGACCTTCTGGTGTTGCCCGGAGACCTGATGTTGCCCCAAAGACCTTCTGGTGTTGCCCCAAAGACCTTCTGGTGTTGCCCCAAAGACCTTCTGGGTTGTCCAGAGACCTTCTGGTGTTGCCCTGAGACCTGGTGTTGCCCCAAAGACCTTCTGGGTTATCCAGAGGCCCTCTGGTGTTGCCCCAAAGACCTTTTGGTGTTGCCCCAGAGACCAGATGTTGCCCCAAAGACCTTCTGGGTTATCCAGAGGCCCTCTGGTGTTGCCCCAAAGACCTTCTGATGTTGCCCCAAAGACCTTCTGATGTTGCTCCAAAGATCTTTTGGTGTTGCCCTGAGACCTGGTGTTGCCCCAAAGACCTTCTGGGTTGTCCAGAGACCTTCTGGTGTTGCCCCAAAGACCTTCTGGGTTGTCCAGAGACCTTCTGGTGTTGCCCCAAAGACCTTCTGGTGTTGCCCTGAGACATGGTGTTGTCCCAAAGACCTCCTGGTGTTGCCCCAAAGACCTTCTGGGTTGTCCAGAGACCTTCTGGTGTTGCCCCAAAGACCTTCTGGTGTTGCCCTGAGACATGGTGTTGTCCCAAAGACCTCCTGGTGTTGCCCCAAAGACCTTCTGGGTTGTCCAGAGACCTTCTGGTGTTGCCCCAAAGACCTTCTGGTGTTGCCCTGAGACATGGTGTTGTCCCAAAGACCTCCTGGTGTTGCCCCAAAGACCTTCTGGGTTGCCCAAAGAGCTTTTGGTGTTGCCTGGAGACTTTCTGGTGTTGCCCCAAAGACCTTTTGGTGCTGCCCCAAAGACCTTTTGGTGTTGCCCTGAGACCTGGTGTTGCCCCAAAGACCTTCTGGGTTGTCCAGAGACCTTCTGGTGTTGCCCCAAAGACCTTCTGGTGTTGCCCTGAGACCTGATGTTGCCTCAAGACCTTCTGGTGTTGCCCCAAAGACCTTCTGGTGTTGCCCCAAAGACCTTCTGGGTTGTCCAGAGGCCCTCTGGTGTTGCCCCAAAGACCTTCTGGTGTTGCCCTGAGACGTGGTGTTGCCCCAAAGACCTGGTGTTGCCCCAAAGACCTTCTGGGTTGTCCAGAGACCCTCTGGTGTTGCCCCAGAGACCTTTTGGTGTTGCCCCAAAGACCTTCTGGGTTGTCCAGAGACCTTCTGGTGTTGCCCTGAGATCTGATGTTGCCCAAAGGACCTTCTGGTGTTGCCCCAGAGACCTTCTGGTGTTGCCCTGAGACGTGGTGTTGCCCCAAAGACCTTCTGGGTTATCCAGAGGCCCTCTGGTGTTGCCCCAAAGACCTTCTGGGTTGCCCCAAAGACCTTCTGGGTTGCCCCAAAGACCTTCTGGGTTGCCCCAAAGACCTGGCGTTGCCCCAAAGACCTTCTGGGTTGCCCAAAGAGCTTTTGGTGTTCCCCCAAAGACCTTCTGGTGTTCCCCCAAAGACCTTCTGGGTTGTCCAGAGACCTCTGGTGTTGCCCCGAGATGTGGTGTTACCCCAAAGACCCCCCTCCCTTGCCCCCCAAGTAACTCTGCTCTTTCTCCTTACGAAGGACCATGCCCTGGAGCAACTTCCCTATGGAGAAAGGACATTTATTTAGGCTTCCATCGGCTCTCAACAGGTGAGTGGTTTTTTTGATTTCCTTTTTCTCTCTGGGCCGGGCCCCAGCCCTTCCCCAGGACCCCCCGGGCCCTGGTTGTGGCAACTCCAACCCCCCAGGAGAAGGGAGGGGGTCTCCAGGCTGCCTTATCCACCAAACGGGGAGGGGGACCTCTGGGGTGGAGGTGGCCCTGGAGTGGAGGTGGCCCTGGGGACCCTTGGGGTGGAGGTAGCCTTGGAACAGAGGTGGCCCTGGGGACACCTGGGATGGAGGTGGCCCTGGGGACACCTGGGGTGAAGGTTCCTCTAGGGCAGAGGTGGCCCTGGGGGCCTCTGGGGTGGAGGTGGCCCTGGGGACCCCTGGGATGGAGGTGGCCCTGGAACAGAGGTGGCCCTGGGGACACCTGGGGTGGAGGTTCCTCCAGGGCTGAGGTGGCCCTAGGGACCCCTGGGGTGGAGGTGGCCCTGGGGACACCCGGTGTGGAGGTTGCCCTGGGGACACCTGGGGTGGAGGTTGCTCCAGGGCAGAGATGGCCCTGGGGACCCCTGGGGTGGAGGTGGCCCTGGGGACACTTGGGGTGGAGGTTTCTCCAGGGCAGAGGTGGCCCTGGGGACCCCTGGGACAGAGGTGGCCCCATGGACCCTTGGGGTGGAGGTGGCCCTGGGGACACCTGGGATGGAGGTGGCCCTGGAACAGAGGTGGCCCTGAGGACACCTGGGGTGGAGGTTCCTCCAGGGCTGAGGTGGCCCTAGGGACCCCTGGGGTGGAGGTGGCCCTGGGGACAGCTGGGATGGAGGTTGCCCTGGTGTGGAGGTTGCCCCTGGGACGGAGGTGACCCCGGGGACACCTGGGGTGAAGGTTCCTCCAGGGCAGAGGTGGCCCTGGGGGCCTCTGGGGTGGAGGTGGCCCTGGGGACACCTGGGATGGAGGTTGCTCCAGAGCAGAGGTGGCCCTGGGGACCCCTGGGGTGGAGGTTGCCCTGGGGAAGAGGTGGCCCTGGGGACCCCTGGGACAGAGGTGGCCCTGTGGACCCTTGGGGTGGAGGTGGCCCTGGGGACACCTGGGGTGA